AAAAAAAAAAAAAAAAACAGTATTAGGACCAAGAATAGCAATTGCAGCTAATAATTACTTAACACTGACCAAGGGCCAGGCACTGTGCTGTGATGTACAGATATGATTTCATTTAATTCTCACAACATGATGAGTGAGTAGTATTTATACACTCATTTTACAGGCTAGAAAACTTGGGTTCAGCGATATTAGTTGATCCAAGACCACACAGCTGCTAAGCACGCAGGGGTTCTCATTCATATCCACCTTGCTCACCCTAGAAAACCTGGAAGCCCATGGAAGCTAATGGCCTCACTTTCTCAGGCTCTTCCACAACCTGGGGGACTTGACAGAAAAGAAACATAACCCAACAGTGACACCGAGACCACCCCAAGCAGTGGCTGGAGGCTACGCAGTGCCTGACAGAGGCCAGCTCATCTCTGGGTGGCTCTCAGAACGAGACTGCTGAGCCGGTGCCCTGCAAACCTCAGCTTCTATGGACTTCCCTCCCCCACGTGCCCTGTTCATCGCTTCCCAGAGTCTGTCCTAGCTGATGCCTGCTCAGGACAGTCCAGATGCTACAGCACCACAAGGCACCAGAGAATCCTGTGCCTGCTTCCCAGGGCAGGAAGACAGCTGATCCACTCAAGGGAGATGGCTAAGTGACTGCCTCACACACCTAATGCTGTCACTGAAGTTGTCCTCTGAGGGGAAGCAAAAATTATGTCGCATGGAACACATTTAGCATCTACAGCCGGATGCCTGGAGATAATCGGGGGAAAGGTGCCTGGGGACTTCTACCTACTCCAGGCCTTCTACCTGAAACTGCGACCACTGCCCACCACCCCAGCTTGAGGGTCAGGACATTGCTGATCTGTCCATTTGGCCAGGAGCCCTCAAGCACAGCATCATCTGTGAATGTCTTCAGGTGGAGATTCTCCCTCCAGCGGGAGTTAGCTTTCTGTCACTGAGACACAACTCATGCTTGTGAGAGCTTAGAACATTCTCTTCTAACAGCTGTGCACTCCAAACCTGGGACAGCCAGAAGGGAAAACAACCTTCTCCAGCCTCAGGGTGAACCACAAAAAGCTGGGGGTCAAGCAGCAGCAGAGACTGGATGGAACTACTTGATGGATTTTCTGGGATGACATTTTCTAGCCCACAAATCACTCCTGGAATTCTGCACACCTAACACATCCCTCAAGAGGTGCAAGGCATGGATAATGCCTCTTGTTTCCAGGGCAACCTCATGGGGGTAGAGGAAGGCAAATGATGGGAAGACTATGTCTATTTCCTTGGCAACACAGGTCCCTGAGTAGATGAGCAGTCCACTGGGGTGAAAACTCAGCCCTACGGCTAGAGAGTACCAGTGAGGGAGATGGCCAGAAGGGCCGGCATTGTGGGGAGATCTGTGGATCAAAGCATCAGGGCTTTCACTGAAAGGGACTCTGGATCAACAGTCCCCCAATCCCTACTGGTTGCCTAATAAGACTGAGCCATCATCACAAATGATCTTAGCTGGAATTTGTCCCTCATTTCTGCCCCCCCAAAGATGTCCATCCAATATGATCCATAGCTTGGAATGTTTCTAAATCACAGTTTTAGAACTTGAAACCTCAACAACCATGGTCTGCTCTTCCTCCTTTTCTTTTCTTTCAGAGAGCACTGAAGGCAGGGAGAAAATGGAGATTTAGAGAACAGAGCCCACAAAGTGTGGTGAAAGCAACGGCCCATACAGGTAAGTGCGGGATAGGGTTTGGTGACACTGCCCACAAAGGTGAAACCAGGTCCCTTCAATGTGCTGGCTTCTCTGAGGTGGTCAGTGGATGTTGGGACCACAAGACACATCCTCTGGCTAAGGTCTTTCAGAATAAATATTTTGTTTTCCCAGCCAGGGAGTCTGGGAAAGGTGGGCACAGTGACTGCAAACCTGGGAGGGGCCTTGTCCTGGTGGCCCCTGGCTGAATGCCATTCTCAGGGTTCAGCAGCTGTTAGGAGTGGAGCCGATGGGCCCCATGGAACTCCGGGCATGTAAGGTGAGCCTTTAAGTGCTCTCTGGAAACACTGCAGCCATTAAATGTCAGTCCCATGGGCTCTGAACTCCCCTGCACAGCCCTGCCCCAGTGCCCCAAGAGGCTGAGGCTGAATGGAGGTTCTGGGAGGCCCTGGCTTTGGCTGGCACAGTGGGAGTATGTCCATTTGATAACAGTTGAATACCTCAAAATGCTGTCACTTAAAAGTAAGAGAAGAAGACGGAGAATTAAACCACTTACCAGAGGCAATGGTGAAAACCACACCAAATAAGAAAATGCACAGAGCAGGAGAACACAACAGGGACCTGCCCAGAGCTCTGGGGGTACTTTTCAAGGCTCTAAGATTCCCACAGACCCGGCCTCTCAATATCCCTCAATACTGTGTTCCGTCTCTGAGCCACAGAGGCAACCCACTCGGGATGGGGGTTCTTCCAGAAGCCAACTGCAGGGCTCTAAGGAAGAGCAGCGAATACAGGCATCTGCAGCTGCAGCTACACCATGAAGCAGCCTGGCAGGAAGAGGTCTCTTGTTACTGTCCTACTGCCTTGTTCTCTCTAGAAGCAAAGGCAGGTTGTGTTTCTCCTGCCCTGTTTCCTCAGGGCTGATGGAACTGGAGATAGAAAGGCTTCTTGGACTCCTCAAAGGCTCAGGCAGGCACATCAATGTCTGTGCCTCTTGCTTGGTCACTGCCAATGCAGTGACAGAAGCCAAACCAGTTCCTAGGGTGCAGAAGGCCTGTGAGGTGGTGGCTCAGAGATGCGTCCCAGGGGTCTTGCTGAGTAGGCAGTGAGTCACTGGGACCCTGGAGTGATGGTAGGGCCCCGGGGCTTTCTCTGCATGTGGCGACGCAAGGAGGGAGGGTGGCAAGACGCCCCAGGTGCACTCAGAGCCGCACCACCACACGTAGAAGGGCCCAGAGAGAACTCTGAGGGTCACATCGGGCTTAGTGCTGGGTCAGGACGCTGTGGTCACAACCAGGAAACTTCTGGGGCCAAATACAGCAAGTGGGAATAGATGGTCACACTCCATCACGCGCCTGTCTCTCAACACCCTTCCCCCGGCGCCAAACTCCCTCTGTGTCCTTAACTCAGGCCAGGCCCGTGGCCACCGAGGAGCTGAAGGGGACCCAGGGACCCACGAGGGCGGCACTAGCACCCTGTCGTCCCCCTCCAGAGCCCACAAGCCCGCATCGCTCCGCAGAAGTTCACAGCACGGGACAGACGTGCTTGTCCGGCCCCGGCTGACTTACCCCAGAGCAGGGTGAGAGGCTGGGCCCTGGGCACGAGCACCAGGGCGTACACGGCCCCCGCGTGCAGCAGGCCCATGAGGACCACGTTCCTCCACACCACGGTCAGCCGCTGCCCGCGCGC